ATGTATATGTATATGTATACATGTGTGTGTATGCATATATATATAATACTGGCAAGGGATCTGGGGGTGGAGTTTTGATTCGTTGCAGGGCTTCTCTAAGCGTTTCTTGATTGCATGTGGTGTTCACAGTCTGACTCATAAGGACTATCAAGCAAGAATATGCCCTCATAGGGGTATTCGAAGGTTTTACAATGCTCTGTGGGATTGTACAAGGATACTCTTGTAGTCTAGCGCTTTCGGTTTCACGCGCTGGAAGCAACACCGGTGAAGAATCGGGAAGGCTCTCTGAACCCTGAAAGATAATGAAAGCTCCTGTCCGGAATCGCTAGATAACTCTGAACCCAGCTCCCCAAAACCTTAACCTCGAAGCTCCGAACCCCGAAACCGCTGAAGCCACTCCCCCAAAACCCCTGAACCCCCCAACGCCCGAAACTCGAAACCACGCTAAATGAGCACACATACTAGTGTTAGGCCTCTAGTAGAATATACCACCCAAAACCCTGTTCTAAAGCTTCTTTCACCATTCTCTTGGGCTCCTGCCGGCAGCCTGCCGGAGTTGTTTTTTGGTGGTTAGGGGCTTCTCTAGTGCCTTTGGGTCTCTGGAGCTTCGAGAGTTTTGGGGTTGAGGGTTTAGGATTGAGGGTTTGGGACTTGGGATCTCTTCTAAGCTTTAGGGCGTTTGGGGTTTTAGGCTTTTGGGGCTTCTAGGGTAATCGTTGGGTGCAGAAAGGTTCGATGCGGAGGCTCAAGAGCTTCGGGCTCTGCAGATCAACATGATTACTCGGACTTCAAACCTAAAACCGAAACACGATACCCAAACCCCAACAGCCCCAACACCTAAACACGGAAACTCTATACCTAACCCCCAATAGCCCCAACACCTGAAGCCTAAAACCCCAGAACACCGTTAGGTTTGAAGTTGTGGGTTTAGGCTCAGGGTTTCGGCTGAGGTTTAGGCTTGGGCTTAGTTGCGGACTCACAAGGGAGGGTTATACGTAAGGTGCAAGGCAACTCCAGTTGTATCTACTTATAACTTACAACCCTAGCTAATGGTATCTATCAGCCTCCTTACCAAGTCCCGGTTCCTTTCGGCACCAAAAGGCCCTGACCCTAGCCGGAACCGCTTCTGGGTGTCATCCCTAAACCCTAAGCCCTGAACCCTAAACCCTAAACCCTGAACCCTAAACCCTTCATGGTGCAGAGAACGGCCCGACCCGCTGCTCAAAACCCAAAGAGAGCAGATCCCAAGCCCTCGACCCCAAGCCCCACACGGCTGTATAGACGCCCTCTAGAGCCTTTAAAAAAAAACCTTTGCAGCACACTCCCAAAAAAGCATGAAGCCCTAGAAAGTCACAGAGCTCGGGTTCAGCTGAAGCTTGGGGCGAGAGGCCGAGGGATCGAAAAACCAACGAGTCACAGGTGTTTTTTTTTATGTACCCCTTGCTTCGGGCAATAATTCTTGGTTCGTCAGGATGTGTCTACTTGGTTGAAACTACCGAGTGCCCCGAAAGTAGCTCAGGTTCTTTGCTGGGCACGTAGATCTAGAGCTATCTCTCGCTGAATGTGTTTCTCCAGGAGCCCATGGCAAAGCCACTATGAAGTCAGAGCTTCAAGTGCGAGGCCTTGTGCGCAAGATGCTTGGCAATGCACACAAGCCAAGCAACCGGGGCCTGGAATGCCTGGAGTATGAAAGGCCCCCGTGCAACAATCAGGATAACAATCCTCATGCCGAAGAGAAGAAACTCGACAAAGAAAGCAAGAACATGTCTCTCCATCGCCACCATCACCAGCATAATCATCACCATCGTCATCGGCACCATCATCGCCATCATCGCCATCATGGCCATCATGGTCATCATGGTCGTCGTCATCATCATCATCATGATCATGATGATGGTCATCATCATCAGCATCACCATCGGCATCGTCATCCTTGTCCATCATCATCATCATCGTCGTCGTCGTCATCATCACCATCTTCACCAAGTCGACAACAGATTTGACCAGAAGAGCAAACACAGGATCTTGGAACATAAGCCTGCCTACATTTACACCAAGAAGGATCGCTGCAATCGTCGTTGTAATCATAGATAGTCGTGAGAGCACTCAATGACCAACATCAGCAGGTCAGGTTCCTCGCAAATACGTCATTGAATTCATAATCATAATCAATGAAATTCAACAATAGCAGACACAGGACCTGCCATTTTGAGACGAGCAAAAAAAGCAAGAGATCAGCGTCCCAAATGGAGTTCCTTATTGAGTCCTGAGGAACTAGACCACGGCTTAGAGGGCTTTCGACACCAGAAAAACACTACAGTGCCAACTATTCACACCATTATTCAGCCCCACCACCTTATAAGCCATCGACAGTCCTTGAGCACCTCCAGGCATATTTGGCATCTTCAGAGCCCTTCAGGTCGTGTTGAGCTAGGGTTTCAGGCTTAGGGCTCAAGCGGTAGGGTGGTTTAGGGTTTAGGGTTTAGGGGTTTAGGGTTCAGGGTTTAGGGTTTTAGGGTGCCGGTTTAGTGGACCAGGCTACCGGATTCCTTCCACAGCTGCAGGCAGCCGATAGTCAGCACGAAAATCGCAAAGGACTTACGCAAGACGCTCGGCGCCAGGAACTCAGTCAGATAGCCACCCAAGAAGCTTCCGAGAACGGCGCTTGCAGAGACGATCAACGTCAGTTTCACATCGATGGCCACATGGCTGGCATGACCAATGTAGCCCGCCAGACACTTCCTTAGTGTTTCGCATCTCGAGAGTCAACCGTAATGTAGACCTGCGAATGATGACACCGTTTCTCTAAGCGCCGTAATCTTAGGATCCTATGACCATTCTTGTTAAAGGTTAAGAGAAGGAGTGTATTCGTCGCGTCTGCACAGAGCTAGATGCATGCCCCTCAATGTACTTCTGCCCTATGATGCGGTTGCAGTGCATGAAAACGCTACATCTTAAACCCTACATCCCAATCCCAAGGCCACCGAAACCTTCGACCTGATGAGAGGACCCAAGCATCATCGCAATCACCATCAGGGATGTGCCAATCGCAGATGACCTTAGTGCTCTGATAAGTAGAAGGAACCCCTGCAATTTATGTTAAGGTCTTACGTTGGCCTCATATTTCCCGTTTGGGACATGGAAAATAATCGAGATCAGACCTGACAATGGGATTACGGGATTGGGTACCCTTACAACCTCAACCCTTTCGGGCGACTCCCCGTTTCTCAAACATTCCAGTCCTTTTAGTCTAGCCGCCTAGCCCTTTTGGAGCGGCTTGCTCCCTGTTTCTCAAGCACACCAGTCCCTTTCGAGGGGTTTGCTCACTGTTTTTCAATTACCAAGTACTCGAATCCCTTTCGATCGATCGCTTCGTGACCTCGCGGCCTTGACCTCGGTCGTGTCCTGACCTCGCGGCCTCGCGGCCTAGCTTCGCTTCCATGTCGCGGCCTCGTGCACCTCGCTGACTCACGGCGCGGACTCGCGCACCTCGCACATTTCCTCGCGACCTCGCGGCCTCCCTCGTATCCCACGCGCCTTCAGCTCCCTCACCTGGCCGCGTCCTCACCTCGCGGCCTCGCGGCCTGACCTTGTGGCCCGGGCTCATTGCCAGGTCTATTCTGAAATATTCCCCACAATACTACTTGTAAACCCTTCAGAACTCTTGAGAACACTTACTTATGTTTTCCCTTAAAGCCTCAAACTCATTGTTCAGGCCCCTCTATAGTCTAAACCCTACATCATAAGCCTGACTAAGCAAGTGACATGGGTAGACCGGCCATGAGGGTCAAGGCAGGCACCACCAGGAAGCCACCACCAGCACCCACCATCCCAGTGACGAGGCCAACCACAAAACCTTTAGGGCTCGTAACGGTTTCAAGATGTTTGCGTCGTCTAGGGTTCTAGCTGGTTTTCTGGTTTTTCAAGGCGGTATGTTATAAGGGGCTTTAAGGGAAAGGTTTTAGGGCTTAGGGCGGACCTTCCACGACGATGTGCCACAAAGGCAGGTCTCCCAACTTGACGAAATTCTCGCCATCCGAGTTGTCCGAATCCTTCACGCCCTTGCTTAGCTGCGCCTCCTCGTTAGAGTCGTTTGCGACGGGCTGATATGCAGATGGAGCACTTCTGTTGTCCTTGTAGAGCATTGCTATCGCGGTTGCCAGGGTCATGAGTGCCTGCTAGCAAATCCTAAACAACTAAGCTTCGAGCTTAGGGTTCACAACTTATGGATTTACTGGGCAAGTTCTTTTAAGATGTAAGTATGTAAGGGGCCCCTTAGGCCCTTCGCACTTCCAAGTTCACCAAGTGGCGAACAGGCAGAGCAAGACATGCTCGGGCACGAAACCGGCCAGGATGCCTCCCAGGTACGCCCCGGCCATCCCGGCCACGCCGAAGATGCCACCCACCTTCCAGTCGACGTTGCCAGCGCAGGCATGCGCAATCAGCGCAAAGGAGCCTCAAGAATCCTGAACTCTACCTATAGTCTCCATTGTAGTTCCCTTTTTTGGTTTGACCAATCTTACATTAAGGATCCTAAAAGGTAACCTCAAACAGGAACTACAATGGAGACTATAGGTAAAATGCAAACCTGAAAAGCCTAAATCCTGGCTGATGGAAACCTCGTGAGATGCTTGGGAGGTTCCTGGATGTCGGTTTGAGGATGCCTCGGGGGCCTTCGGATTTCAGACCCACCCCCCCCTTTGAGGCTTTGGCAGCTACGGCTTTGGGGCTTCAGATTTTTGCGTTTTGGGCTTTGCAGTTAGGGTGGGAGGGTCTTCCTTGTGTGGGCTTTCGCGTTCAGGTTTAGGGTTTACTCTATCGGGTTTGGGAAGTCAGGTATCGAAGCCTCAGCCACAAAATCTAAAGCCTGCGCCCCGGAACCCGGTGCACAATGCCTTGAACATCCTGTGACCCACCCTAAACCCTAAACCCAAAACCCCAAAGCCTAAACTTCCAAAACCCTAAACCCTAAAACCCTAAACCCTTAAACCCTAAAACCCTAAACCCCAAAGCCCAAAGCCCAAAGCCTGAAGCCTAAACCCTAAAACACTAAAACCCTAAAACCCCAAAGCCTAGACCTGGAAAT